TGCCAAAGTTAACAAGGTTCATACCAGGCTTGACCACACCATCACACTCAGGACATCTAGGGACCTCATCATTGAAGACCTTTTCTGCAAAAAAACGTCAAAAAATGTTTACAAACAATTACACAACATCAGCACAAATATAAATATATGCATTTTTTCCACTCCTGGTAATGGTTGAATCTACACGTTTGTACTTCTTGAAAGTCAATGAAATATATTGCATGACAACAATGCTGACCTTTGACCCACTCCTGTGTGTACTCTTTCCTACACTCTCCAAGACAATGTGCTGTGTAAAATGTCCCATGAGCCTCCACCATCGCCCCAGCTGGCACTCCTGCCACTCGCTCCAATGTGTCAATATTCTGGACATACAAGAAACAGATGACATACTATGGCACTGCGAAGTATAAGAAAAAGTATGGCACAAAAAGCCAATGCACTGTATATGTAACTGCAGTAATATATTTAGGAAGGCTGTACCTGGGTGAAATTCCTGAGCAATAGGCCTTTCAGTGATAGCAGCTTGATGAAATAGTGACACCAGGTTGGCTGGAAAGAAAAAAAAACACCATTTAATTACAGAATACTTCAGGACAAATTTTGGGGAAAAATACGGTAACTTGAAAAAAAGATAAATAATGTTTGGACAGAAAGTCACCTTAAACTTTCCAGGGTAAAGTTCCTTTGCAAGAGCAAAGAATGGTTCTGGGTTTTCCTGTGGTAAAAGCAAAAAATAAGGTGAAGCCACAGTTTTGTATGTGCAGTGATCAACCTTGGATCAAGGGATATTGAACTATTTTGCTTGAACCAATTTGCTTTGCACCCTACATAATAATCACATAATCTGCCACTGATGGCATGTAAGTACCTATCCTTCTGCAAAACCAGCTATGCTGAATCAAAGGTAATGTACTTATTAAGTCTTCATACCTTGAAAAAGCCAATTTCAAAGATGGCCTGAGGGCTGGGCAGGTTGTACTTCTGCAGGTTATCGTACAGCCCTGTGCCAGGACTGCGGAAATCAGGAATACCAGCAGCTGGAAAAATATACACTCAAACTATTAAATATGAAAAAAATGGTTGAGTCCAATCAAAACAGTAATTCAACAAAGTACACTGAAAGCTGTGAGAAGGATTTTAACTAACTTCCAATGGAACTTACATGTAGATATGCCTGCTCCAGTCAGGACAATTATGTTTCTACCTGCAAAAGAAAGTAAAAAAGACAATCAGCAAATTTTTTTCATACAAATAAACACAGTTATGGTAGCAGCAAAGTATTTCAATGGACTGAATACACAGTAACTATATGTACATTTGCCATCTCTGATGTACTTTGCGATCCCTTCCACTGTAACCTCATCCAACAGCTGCTGCGGACGGGGAGTTTCTTCCTCTGCCTCTGCTGCTTCTCGTTCCTGAGACAGACCCAGGGTTCTGGCAAACAATCTCCTGAAGTACTCCACTAAGACAATGAGAGAGGGAGAACAATATTATCAGCTACTAATACTACATGTATATCATGCATTGCAAGCTGATGATACACCATGACCATTCCTCTATTAGGTATCTTTTTCATCAAAATATAAAAAGAAATATTTCCCCCAGTCTGGAGCTGCAATCTGTATCTGTATCAGTATAGCTGGTATAACCGCCCTTTGGCATAACACACCAGCTAAGTTATCAACTTTACGTTCCAGATGATATCAGATAAAGATTCTTTTTGACAGTGAAGTGAAGAGGACAATGAGATCTGACATGATGTGATGACTTACTTTGCTCTGCTTCTTCCCCAGCACCTTTTTCCTAAAAAAGAGGTTCAAGATACATATTGTAAATTGTACTAGTGAATATGAAAACAAACTAACTATCTTGATTCTGACTTTCCTATTGTTCAATTGTGATGATCTAAGCAACCAAGACGGAGCATCCAAGTGTCAAAGATGTCCTGGTCTTACCTGAGTGGAGCTGTCTCCTGTAGCTGCAGCACTCTCTGACTCTGATGCTGGGGAAAATAAAAGGAAGTCTACATTGAAATGAAACACTTACTGATCACTGTCCTTACTTTGTTCCTTTCCATATTTCTACTGCTAACATATTGTTCTCACAAATAGATGTGTGAAGAATTGTTTGTCTGAAAAGAAATGGAGTAATGTCAATGCACATCTGCCAAGTTTGAAACAGACCACAGATGAAAAATAGCTACTGTATAATACTGTTATCTATACTGGTCGTGAAATTGAAATACATGTATTTCTACAAGTGAAGTAATTATACAATGGTACTGTGGCCGACAAGTACACATCTGCGTCATCTGTGCAGACAGACGCCCATTACCATTTTTTGTAAAAAATTTTTTAGCAAATAAGCTTGCGGACAGAGTTCTCTTCTGTGGGTAGAGATTATATTACGGACTTGTAACACTGCACAAAAAGGTAGCAAACTCAGGTAATGTTTACTTTGTACATAGTACACAATGGTAGTAAGTAAAAGTCAAGTCCATTAATTTCATTTACAACCGTTGTTAAGTCTGGAATTTCATTTACAACCCTTGTTAAGCCTGGAATGTCCATACTTGACTTAAATTTACTGCCATTGTAAAGTCCAGTAGTGTTTATTAAAAAACAAAGTAAACATTATCCAGCCTTACTGGAATTTACTGCCTGTGGTAAATTGGTAAAACATTTCTGTGAAGTGTATAGATTCTGCTTGTTGCAGACTCATATGCATAATAAATGGCATACACTATCTTGCTTTAATACTTGCTTAGGACTCGATTTTGATGATGACGACATACAATAATACTACAACAAATTACAACGACTCTTTCTTCACTTTGATTTAAGATATTCGTAGATGATGCAGCTTTCTCTCTGCGGAGACAACACAGCTTTTTCTGTGCAGACGACGCAGGCATTTGCGCAGATGACAGGCATTTGCGCAGGTGTGTATTAGTCAGCCACGGTACAATTTGGCTATCTGCATATTGACACCCAATGTATGCAGTTTCTGTTCCTTTACCTTTACTGTCACCCTCTGCTTCAGACATTGAACCAGTGAACAAATGCACCCCAGTCACTTCAACTCGAGCTCTTCAAGATACTCTGGCTATGAGATGGTTGTAAGAGAAGAAAACAAATTCTAAAGTTAGTATAACAGTTTGCAGATATGTAAACACTTCACAGGTACTGAGATAGGCCAATGTTGATCATATAGAAGCTATTATGATCACCATAATTTGATCATGGAAGCTAAATTGGTACGAACAAAACTATAGCAGCAAATGATACTTACATGGACCCTGCTTATGTAAGATGCGCGTGATTCTTTTTACTTTTAACACCTGCAAATTTACCACTTCATGACTTCCTCTTTTTGGAGCGGTGAGACTTTAAACTGACCTTTCACCTTCGTGAACTTTTGTGAACTCTCAAGTATTGATTGCAAGCAAACGCATTTATTTTTGTCAGGTTATCGGTTTATTACTGTACAAAATTAGCACTTCTTAAACAAGTACACATCACAATATATCAATTTAATTTTATGATAATACTTTGTATTATCATGCTTAGTTTGTGACCTAATAAACCTTCAAACGCTTAACAATAAAACGCAAACATGGTTGGTTGCTGTCATCATTATTCTCGCGCTGCCTGTCGGGAGAAGGAGGCGGGTGTTCAAAATGGCGACGAGCAATGTCGAATTTTACGCTAAACTTCAACAACTTCAAGACCAACTGCATGCCAGGTATCTATCGAGAGATAGCTCAATATATCACACAAGATTTCCAGACAGTATTTTGTGTTGATTTAGGTAGAAAAAGACAAAGTGCATGCCGAATTTTTGTTGAAAAAGCCCTGGAAACCATGACAACAATCTGACGCCAGAACAGGAACTAGAAAATTATTGATTTGCACTTGAATATTCTCTCTTCTAGCGAAGAACGACGTTTGCAGTTGGAGAGGCAGATGAATTCCTACATGAAGTCGGACAAAAGACTGTGAGTGCTCTGTGTTAGCACAGATCTGTGTTGCGATTTATGTTTACCCAAAAGTTATAAATAAATCATCTATCATAATTTTGGAACACTAC